AGTAGATGAGGACGAGGGCAGGTATTGCAAGTCGTGTCAATGGCATTGAATCACCGTCACAGGTAACGGAGCACGAGCAGAAAATGCAGTCGGGATCACGTAACGTGACTGTTACGCAGCACGCGCTGCTTATTCGGCTGTTCGGTGAATGCGGTTTAAACGCTGCCTCGACTTCAGGAAGATACGATGCAATGAAAGCAGGAATGCGTCCCATCACCGCCTGGTACGTGCTTAAACTAGTGAAGAAGTTAGACCAAACTGTGTGTGTGTGTGACATGAAGAGAACCGGACCGCCTCGCATCACCACGGACGACTGTGCAGTTTGTACAGTAGTCAGTGAAGTACCAAAAACTGATCTCACTATTCGTTGGATCCCACAGCACTGTGACAAGACCCGATGTGGGGTACTCGGGATAATACAGGAACGAAAATTACGAAGATCCCGTGCACTTAAAGTGCAGGTTTTGAAACCCTGCGATTCGGAAAAGCGGCATGAATTTCGTTGCTGATTTCTGGGTCACGGGGATATTTGCTCTGTCATCTTTACAAATGAAGCACTGTTTCATCTACATGGAATAATGGAATATTAATCTTAGGCTAACGGCAACCCATGAAAATTTACCGCATCACGTACGCACCATAGTGTGAAACTGATGGTTTGGGAAGGATTAACAAGCCAGAAAATATCCAGCAAATACTTTTTCTGGGAATGTGACCGGTAGGTTGTTGTCTTGAAGTACTAAAGACTTATCTGTTCCTAGCATTGTTGTACTTGGAAATGCTGCAGACTTTTGTGCTTCCCCAGTTGGAGGCCGAAGGCGCATACAGTACCATTTGGTGGCAGCAGGATGGTGCAGCCGCACATTCTGCTAAAACGGTGCGTGCTTACCTCACCGACAGATTTGGTCACCATTGGATTGGACGCGGTGGACCAATGGAGTGGCCTGCTCGCTCACCAGAATTGAACCCCATGGAACTTTCTATGGGGCTATCTGAAGCGGCGAGTGTACAAAACAAGGCCGCGTACATTGGACAAACTGAAAGCACTTATAGCTGAAGCACTGGGTCAATATTAACCAAAGTTCGTCCAGCCTTAATGAAAAGCCGATTGTGTTGTTGACTCAGTTTCAGGCTATTGCCTGTGAAGTTGGTGTTCGGGATGCGTTGCAGCAGGTGGCGACATGCGTAAGTGAAGTCGTTCCGTATTCGGTAGACTAATATGTAGTCTCCACGTAGCCATCTGCAGCGTGTACTGAACACTCCGATTGTTTTTGGTGGCTGCTAGTACGAAAGGTTGCACAATCTCTTGACAAATTTTGCTGCTCGACCATGGTGAGTTTCGAGCGCTGCAAGCTCACGATTTAGCCAAGCATGTCAAGAATGGATTGCGTACTCCATGTGGAAATGCACACAGGCGTGGAACACCCTAGAGAAGATGAATGAATCTAAACTTTCGAATGCCATCCGGAAGCTAACAACGTGAAACGGCTTCCGACTGTCTGGAAGAAACGAAGTCATCCTGCACCAGCACACCAAGGTCACGTTCCTGAGGGCTTGTCTGTAGGCCGTAGGCCTCAATTTTATAGTGATAGGCGTGTCAATGGCGGATGTGGACAATGTGTCACTTGACCACATTGAATGGCAGTGAAATCTTCACCGGTCAATGCCAGGTCCAATCTAGGTCGCACATGGAGGATCTTGTGGTCGTCCACTCTCTTGATCGCCGGCCAACTTTTCACGTCATCCGTGAAAAGTAAAATTTTTGAGGTGATAGCTTTCGCAAGATCGTCGCACTCCACTCGATTACGGTCGGGCAGAGATGTTCCGACTCCAACCTATAATTGCTGTTCGCGAAGAAAGTTACCAACCCATCCCAATACTGCATCGCTGACGCTTTCCAGGTAGCCCATGATTACGTCATCGATGATCGCTTCCATGACTTTGGCAAGCGCAGGGAGAAGTGTTATCGGCCGGTAATTGGTAGGATCAGACGGACTTCTCTGAAAGAATCCGGTAAGTGGTTGAGCTAGGTGAATGGCTGCTACCTACAGTGCTTCAGGATGAAGGTAATCCACTCAAGGAAAGCTGTGTGTACGCAAGGATAGTAGCTATTTCAGAACCATTTTTGCTGTGAATTTGATGCTGGATAACACTGATGGTGTGGTGACAGAAGCAAGTATAATGTTTGAGGCTAGTACCCCTTAGAAAGTAGGCCAGTACTGGGCCCGTGAGGCGTTGGCCGCCTTTTTTGTTGTGTGTGTATACCCAACAATCGTGCTGAGTGGTGGGATTCTATGCTGCAACTTTCGAAGTGCATTCACGTATCTGTAAAGAAGCTTGTGGTTCGAACGAAATCGTTTCACTAGCTGCTGTTGGTGTGATAACTTACCTTCACGAACCAACTGTACCTATTAATTGCTCAGAACGACGTACGCTGTCTCATTTTCCGCGTCAGGATTGTTTTGGTGAAGGCGCCATGTGTTTCCCCAAGGCCATAAATCTTCATGTTTGGCTTCTCATGAATAATGCTGGTTTCCTGGGATGGGGGAGGATTTTTGCTCTGATGCTTTGGTGACTAGTGACGTGGTTTTCACAAATTTATCGCAGACTATCTCTGGGGTGCACTCCGTCATGAATGTCCAACTAGAATTTTATACACACACAAAATAGGCTACGATCACAGAACTGTACGGTGTGATTTCGTTTGGCACGACAGATACCCCGATGCAGAGCCGAAAAATGCAATGTATTACTCATTATCAGGTTCTGTCCGCATTCGTTTAAAATCCTAGTGAGACAATTTTGACGGAGTGCACCCCAGAGATAGTCTGCGATAAATTTGTGAAAACCACGTCACTAGTCACCAAAGCATCAGAGCAAAAATCCTCCCCCATCCCAGGAAACCAGCATTATTCATGAGAAGCCAAACATGAAGATTTATGGCCTTGGGGAAACACATGGCGCCTTCACCAAAACAATCCTGACGCGGAAAATGAGACAGCGTACGTCGTTCTGAGCAATTAATAGGTACAGTTGGTTCGTGAAGGTAAGTTATCACACCAACAGCAGCTAGTGAAACGATTTCGTTCGAACCACAAGCTTCTTTACAGATACGTGAATGCACTTCGAAAGTTGCAGCATAGAATCCCACCACTCAGCACGATTGTTGGGTATACACAGACAACAAAAAAGGCGGCCAACGCCTCACGGGCCCAGTACTGGCCTACTTTCCAGGGGGTACTGGACTCAAACCTTATACTTGCTTCAGTCACCACACCATCAGTGTTATCCAGCATCAAATTCAAAGCAAAAATGGTTCTGAAAAAGCTACTATCCTTGCGTACACACAGCTTTCCTTGAGTGGATTACCTTCATCCTGAAGCACTGTAGGTAGCAGCCATTCACCTAGCTCAACCACTTACCGGATTCTTTCAGAGAAGTCCGTCTGATCCTACCAATTACCGGCCGATAACACTTCTCCCTGCGCTTGTCAAAGTCATGGAAGCGATCACCGATGACGTAATCATGGGCTACCTGGAAAGCGTCAGCGATGCAGTATTGGGATGGGTTGGTAACTTTCTTCGCGAACAGCAATTATAGGTTGGAGTCGGAACATCTCTGCCCGACCGTAATCGAGTGGAGTGCGACGATCATGCGAAAGCTATCACCTCAACAATTTTACTTTTCACGGATGACGTGAAAAGTTGGCCGGCGATCAAGAGAGTGGACGACCACAAGCTCCTCCATGTGCGAGTTAGATTGGACCTGGCATTGACCGGTGAAGATTTCATTGCCATTCAATGTGGTCAAGTGACACATTGTCCACATCCGCCATTGACACGCCTATCACCATAAAATTGAGGCCTACGGCCTACAGACAAGCCCTCAGGAACGTGACCTTGGTGTGCTGGTGCAGGATGACTTCGTTTCTTCCAGACAGTCGGAAGCCGTTTCAAAAGTGGTAACCAACACGTTGTTAGCTTGCGGATGGCAGTCGAAAGTTTGGATTCATTATTTTCTTAAGCATACAGCCATCACACTCCCGTAAAAGCACTTGACTCGCGTTTCATCCTTTCGGAGATCGTCAGCAATATTCATTCCATCGGACCGTGGTATAGTTCTAACCCGCAACTCAACTGTTGCCAGTCCGTGGTTGAGACGGATTAGATTCCGTTTCTTAATCCAATTGGATGTTCAGATATTCTGAGAACATCTCAAGTAACTGCCGCTGAGACTGTTCAAAATGTAATTTCTCTGCTGGAGGAGGGGTGGCGTCTGTTCAAATGAGATTGACGCGTTTGTTCAAAACGCCGTCGCCTACAATATTGTGTCGGAGCTCCAAGGACTGCTTTCCGCTAGCTCACGGTAGTAAGAACATGCACGACAATCCGGGTAGAAAGACTATGTTACCTACAGCACACCAAACCGGCCACCAAGCTTCCGTGAATTCAAATCAACGGTATAATTCAAATCAGGGTATATACAAAGGCTATGCAGAAAAACTGACATGCATTCCATTAAGGCTTGTCATTCCAGGAGCGAAGGATCGATACGGTATCTAACGAACGAGTGAAATGCACAGAGTAAGGGAAAAGCCAATAAGCATACGATTCAGTGTCAATTCAAGCTAATCACAAATGTGAAGCAACAGAAAAAGTATGCGGAGAACCGTAAACGAAGGCGGGATGAATAGGGGTGAGTGGGGCAAACTCACATAACAACGAGGAGTGGTGGAGTTTTCTTAACTCCACTATAACAGTTGTTGACGGTGATCTACTGAGACACTAAAATATTGAGGTTTGCCCAATTTACTTAACTCCATATATTTTAATAGTACCGTAAATATTGTGATCCAAATTTGTTCTTATCTTGGGATCATTGGCTACGCGTCATTCAACGTAGGACCAGTGAAAGTTACAGCCGGTGATCCGGTGAGAATTGAATTGATCACTAGACGGTGGATAGTCTGTAGCTTGGTCACAAAACGCCGAAATACTTACCAGCAGGTGTTGCGATGATGAGCGTATCATCGGTTTTAACAACGCCCTCGCCGCTCTCCTCGAGTCGCTCTTGAATAATTTGTGGAACTCCGGTTTCAGTGTCTGCCAAAGACATTGCGGGCAGAATTTGCGTAGATTCAATTTCTGCGGGAATAAATGGTCCCCTGCGGTCCACAATGACAGGTTCAATGGATTCTTCCTGAATGCTCACCTCATCTTCAACGCTCTCTGTAAAGATAGGACAATGAAAACACAAGCTTTCGTAACGTCTGCAATATGCCGTCTAGTGAAAAATGGAATTGCTGACTCCGACGTTAACTTACCTGAGGGCAAATCGAGAGGCTCCTCTTCCATAACATGTGATAATTCATTCGCGATAACCAATCTTTCCATCTGGTCTGCATGCGGGACGGGGACCTTCTGGGATACGCTAACATCCAGTCTGGCAACTTGAGTAATTGCTTCAATTCGGTCGTCAGGAATATCGGGCTGAGTAACAGCTGGAAGGACGAGAGGAATCGGCTGTGCGCCTGAATTTGCAAGGTAATCCAGAAGAGCTTGCTTCCAATCCTGGGGAGCAAGTGTTGCGATCTGAGTCGAAAGTTCCTCACCTACCTCACTTGGCACAGAAGTGGACGAAAGAGGTTCCGCTATCCGAATGAATGGCACAAATAGTATGTTTAGACGCGTCAAGGTGAGTGACAGAAATCTGGTAAAATCGAGTTAAATTGATCGGAGAAATGCTACCGGCAGCGGGTAGAGAAGATGACATCGAAAACTCCAAAGTTTTACATGCGAGGACCATATTATTGTGAACGTGCCCCTGAGAGAAAAGCCGATTACGGCTGATATCGCTTGAATGACGGTATGCAGCAGTCGAACGGCAAAGGGAACAGCAACATCACGTTGCATCGACTAGAGCTTGTCTGACAGTCACCAGACATCGGGGAAAACACGTGACAATTGAAGGCCACTTCAGTATTATCCGTCATCCTTTGTCCTTGGTTTGTCACTTCAAGTATGCGGTTGGAAAGGGGATTCGGAATATGGGGCTTTGGGTTTTTCGGATAAGCACCTAACCAATGTAACGCCGGGATCCGCGAACGGCGCCTATGAAATCGACGGGGGAATTCATAGCTAGGTCCCGGAGTTCTCGTCTTGTGCGCGACATGTAATCTCATATTGAACCATAGATCACACCGAGGTGGAACTAGCTTAGTCCGACCACTGGAGCCAGATCCAAAGAGAGGACATTTTCGGCGCTACCCGCCTATTAAAAGGCCGCTTCGGATGAAAGGCACACGCAGCTTTAGTATGCTGTAAACAGTAATTACCTCTGAGTGGACCATAATCCTACAAGTCGACCTAATGTTATGTGCAGAAAGATATCATTCAAAAGGTTAACTCCCTATTACGCGGTAATATCACAATGGAAAATGAACTGCACCGTAGTACATCCGAGCTGTAAATTTTTCTCCTTGTTTCATCTTCCTTGGTTATTCGGCCATACCCATCTCAGGGCTCTCGCGTCCACATTGGAGCCAAAGAGATGAAACAAAGTGAGCTCTTATATCCACTCTTCTTACTTCTGGTAATTACAAGCTTTTTTCGGCCTCGATATAAGTTGAAAATACCATAGCTATAGCGAAGTTTTTACTTCTCCAAAGAATTCCGGAAATGAGAACTAAAACAGATCCTCATCTCAATCGTCCCCACCTCCTAATGCTTACTGATCAACTGCATTAGTAAGAATTAGCATATGCGCAAACCCCTGTTCACAGGTTCATTTCCTCCCCTATACTTGCCATCTTCGTACCTATCTCTGTGTCCAATATTATTCTTTTCTTCAGGTTAAGTAGCAACGTATGGTATTTCTACAGGTAAAATGCACGTCCTTGGTAAGAGATGAATGTCCAGCCACGCCGGCGCTGGTCCCCGAAATTCCAAAAGAATACCGAACTAATCTTATACCTTGTTACTGAGCTTTACCTACATTTCGGTTAACTTTGTTCATTTCTTCCACAAAATGTACCACGGACGTTAGCTCCGAACGCAATGAACAAAATACGTGCACTTGCAACTTCCAGAAGAATCGGTTGTGCTTAAGAAAGAAAACGTTATAATATCCTGAATAAATCCAGGACATATCGGCACTTTCATCCTTTCGAGATCCCTGCCTCCTACCTCATAACCTCTGCAGGTGAACACATTTAGTCTTATACGAGAGCATACAACACCTGTAATACTTTGGATCTGACCCTGCGTAAGCTAGTTTTCTTGCAAAGTCAACAAATATACCATTCATTTACTCATTCATTTAATTGTCCACCATGTCAGCTGCCTTGGTAGTAGAGACTAAAGGACGAAAGAAGACGGTACACCAGAAACGAATGCAGCTTGGACGAAATCAAAAGCCAGTGTTCTTTGGTTATATAATGGTTGACGAACCAACCACAGCCTTGGTTACTAGGTGCGGCAACTTTCAACAACATCCGGAAGGTAGTGCACAATAGCAGTTACTTACCTACTGCTTCAGTCAGCGAAGAAGCGGTTGTTGGAGCACTAACGGCAGCAGAAACGGAGGTCGAAATATCCGAAACATCTTCCTGGGTAGATGCAACATCTACCTCTGCAATACCTGGAGTTGGCTCCGTTTCGCGCTCTGCAAGACAATAACAAGCGTTCGATTCAGTGTGGACACAGGGACGATGAGGTTAAGACGGAGTAGCTTCACTTAGTAACTGAACATCCACATAGAAATTTCACATAAGCAGACGAAAGCGACCCTTGGGCTGAATGCATCGACATACCAGTTCGGAACGGGCTTGTGGGCCAGAGGTTCGGTCTAGAAAACAGCGGTTTAATACCTATCATTGTCATACCTATCATTCCTTTCTATAAGGCGGTCATATTACTGCTAAATTATGCCTAGACGGATATCTTTTACCTGATTTTCCTCCTTTATTCTAAAGTTATTAGTTATACTCATCGATGTGATGTTCATCTAAATGGATGGTAGACAAATCGAGCATCGATCACAACATACAAAGGAAACGTTGTGTTTACGGTAAAAATAAGTTCCTTATATTACTCACTTCGTAGGAAGGTATTTGCCAAGTACATACACTGATTAAATTTGCAAATCTTTTATGACTCGGAAGATGAACCGTATCGTGCAATCCGAAGGGGTATGTTGGAACTGCGCTCAGACACCTAACCGCACTACTTCGTGTGAATTATGGATGATCTCCGCTTGATAACTAGAGATAAGTGGTAACTTTGGTCAAAATAGGAACGCAATAAGAGAAGTTTCTTTAAAATTCCGGGGTTGGACTAAGTTTGGAGGAGGAATGAACACAGGAAAGCCATGATAATCCATTGACGTACCATGCTCCACTTCGCCCACACTTGGTTGCGAAACATCTACGGCACTGGGGATAGTCAAGGAAGACTGCACATCAGGCGTAACTTCGACTCGTGGTGGCGATGGTTTCTTGCTCAATGCAACGGTAGCAGCCGCCAGCTCATCTTCTGTGACCACAGGCCGAATGTCGGTCATACTAGGGTGTATTACATCGGCTCGCTTGATGGAATGTAAGGCAGTTGCTAACTGGTTGCCTGTAGACAGTGTGAAAATGGAAGTTTCATAAACCCACAGCTTCACAGTATGTTTCTAAACAATTCATAGGAAAGAAAAGGTATCAACAGTACGTCGGCACACTCTGCAGACGTTTCGCTGCTACAACCACCACTGGTGGCGCGTGAGCTAAGCATACCGCGACGTCGCCGCACCTACGCTGTTTCGTACCTGTAACCTCCGGCTTACAGCCCACACGCGTAATCATTTCGACCAAGGGCACGCTTTGAAGCAACAGAAATACAATTCGAAGAAAGTAGAAGCCACGATTAAAATTCACGCACAATAATATGCCTCGACGGGGAGTCGAACCCCGGTCCACGAATTTCCGGTCCGTTGCTCTACCACCTGAGCCCTCGGTAGCTCAGGTGGTAGAGCAACGGACCGGAAATTCGTGGACCGGGGTTCGACTCCCCGTCGAGGCATATTATTGTGCGTGAATTTTAATCGTGGCTTCTACTTTCTTCGAACTCTACACTACTCACAAACATCCACAGAAATACAATTCCTTAAGTAAGTGTGACAACTTCAACTGCAAAAACAGAGCAATATTTTGGAATGTACATGCATGGAAAAATATCAGATAAGTACCTCACTGAGTGCAATGTGAGTCTTGATTAGTTGCAACCGAATCTAGGCCAGTGCCATCACTTAGACTTTGAAGCGCTTCTAGAAAAGCCATTTATGAGGCATGGTTGCTTTAGGGAATATTTTTAGAGACAACAGGGTGATTTTGCTGATTACCACTGGAAAGTTGATGATCAGGCGTGCATCCAAAACCGATACCCTACGTTGTACCTTAAGAATCTGAGAAAAAGTCAGATCAGCCTGTGGTTGGGAGCGTTCTTGGTTAAAAGGAGACAGCTGTTGGACGATGGAATCGAAACTGATAACTTGGGTGCATAACGCAATAGTAACAACGCAGCGTGATCACTTAGAACATATTACTTGCACACAGGGGTTCAAAACAGCTGTCTCGATCTTTGACTACGTCCAACTCTGAATGATTTCAACCGAATGGTCGCCACCAGGATGGGTATACTTAGGTATCGATTTGTTATGAAAAATGTAAAACATCACATTAGATTGGATTTCAGTGTGAAGTAAAGCAAGGAACAAGTATAATCGAAGCACTTCACTGCTGACTACTTCTAGCGGAACATTCCTTACAACTATTAGTGAAATATATGTCGGATTCGATCAGAAAGTTATAAAAACTATATTTCATGCGCATACATAGGGACAAATCACAAAAACATGTTTAAAAAGAGCGGGGCGTACTCACCGAGAGCGGCTTGTTTTGGTCCCGCGGATTCGGAGACCCTCTGCTGCCACATGGACAGCATGAGCTCGCCCTTCTGCTCCTCGGTAGTTGGATGAGTTGTTGAGTAGGCACTAGATTCCCTCGAAATTTGTTGAATTTCGTTATCAGTAAAACATAGCGCTTTGGCCAACTTCTCCCAGTCTGAGCCCAGTTGGTTGGCCAGCGCCTTGAGATCCAGTTCAGAACGCCCAAGGACTTCGGAATCTACGAGCGTGGATGTTGAATCAAAAAGAACGAGCATGTGTTCTCGTTCGGTGTTAAATCATACAACCATTTTTACACTTCATGCATGTTATTCTACAACAACGTAGTTGGGATTGAATATGTGGTGCAGAACGAAAGAGTAAAGAGGAGAAAGGATTTGTTGGTGTTGAATTGGTCACCGGACTAACGGATTCCGCGCCGTTGGCTCGAATTCGACAGGGTTCGAACCTACAAACATCCTCCTGCGGGGTAGTGACTTAAGCCACGCCCCCATCAATGAGGCATAGTCAGAGGCTTAAGCAAGTACATTATCATTTTCACTGCTTATTGTGGGGTTCTTTTCCATCACTGTGGTTTCCGTTCAGTCCATGGAGACGAACAGAGTGTTTAATCGGGTGTACTCATCCCGTGATACCGCACAAGAAAGTGTTCTGAGGTCAGTGATCATCAATGAACTATTCCATGTATCTTTCGAGATCGTGCAATTCCTCGCAGATGGTAGCAACCGTTTCTCCCTACTACCGATATAATCTAGGTAGACTTATGTATGATGAACTAGTGGTGTGATCAGTAGCATTGATAATGCAACCTAACTGGTGATGAAGCGTATTCAGTCAGAATACCCAGCCCGGGGAACAACACTCGCACATTGTTGTCTACAACGGATAGCTATTCACATAAATTAACACATAATTCGGTCTGTCCCGGAAGAAATGCACTGCAGCCGTCACTTAGCCAGAAGTACAACACAGGAAATCATACAAACACCATCGAACCTGAGAAAACTGAAGGAAGCTCAAGAAGCGCTCCTATCGCTTCATGTACTCATTTTTGGAACAAATTGCCATTACGTATATGAGAACATCGCGTGAGCAACGAGCGTGTTCGACGCCTTGTTTACGGCACAGAAAATGGAAATGAACCGCCCAGCACCGTTATTTCGCGCACCAGGCTCCGATGGTTCCACGACGTGTTACGCATACCAGCCCACCGGCTTCCGCGACGTGCGTTGGTTGTGCGCCGGGGTGTGGATGGAAAAAGAGGAGAGGTGGCCAAGCGATGACTTGGTCGAGAGGAATAAAGGCCCTCACTTCGAAGTTGAACCCGGTTGGAGCCTCTCGGCTCCCTGCTTGGGGACCGAAGAACAATGAGCACGTTTGGATAGATACACTTGTTGACATGGCTGGTAACCGACCTCAATGGCGTTCGGATTGTGAGTTTCTTTGTCCCTCCCCCTCCAAGCACGATCTCATTTCTTAGCATAATATAATTTTGCATAAGAAATTTTTTTCTGCATAGAAACCGGTTGGTAGCTTTCCGGAACGATGCTCATCCGCTGCTGGTAGCTTAGCTGTCATACATCTGTTGAATATTATTTTCTTATTTTATGCATTGTGGCACACTGGCTGAGGTGTTTTCCACCTCTAGCTAACGTGTATAATGATGATGTTGACATCTGTGGGCAAGTGGAATCCGAACCAAATTTAAAACGGTTGGGGGCTTTTATCACCATACAGAATATAATGAATACACTCAGTTTTCAAGTACTTACAGATGTGTTAATAGCAGTTGGTTTCAACAATATATGCACAGAAGATGCAGCTTCACCCCAACCCAGTAAACTTTCTGTTTCACTCGGAAGTGATAGGTTTGAAGTTACACGCACAATGGAAAAATAAAATTAGCCATGTATCTCTTACATCCCACATATTCCGTACGCATTCGAAATGCTGCTCGCCCATACCAACCTGACAGTTCGCAGTTTCGAGTGGGGCCTGACAAGCGAAGCCAACTGAAACACTGCTTCTTCTCCTCATATTGTCATTATTATTTATGTACTCGGTAAAGTTAATCTAACAGCTCCACCTGCAGGTGAAGGCTAGAAGGGAACACAAACCGTATACATCCTACCTCACAGTCATTTGATAACATGTTTGACTTTCGCTCGTCCATGCCAATCTTGCAATTCGCACCCTCAAGTGCTTTCTGAAAGAAAAAGCCAACCGAAACGATTTACCTCTCTCATGTCAACATCACACTTTCCGTCACACGGCCATTTAAACCATAAACCTTTACTTGCAAGTGAAGGCTGAAGGGAAAACCACTGAGCCCACCTTGCCTCTCAGGAGTTCCGTAACACGCAACACATCTTGCTCGATCAGTTTAATGTGACATCGATATTTAGGTAGGTTCAAACACCTCACCCTTCACACTCCTTCATATTACTCGGGGAACGCAGTTGAATCTTTAAATATTCTTAAAGAACCACATTGATGTATTAAATCTACATTTCGCATTTTTTCTCACTCGAGTACAAGTGCTTTAAGTATAGAGCTTTTGCTACTCACTGATAAGTTGCCTAGTACTGCTCTAGTCTTTTATGTTAATCTTCATACACGTCTTCATACTTGGATAATGACACTAATGGATTCGTACGCTTTCAAGTATTCCCCCACTCATGAACCCACAATCATCATAGTCCACCTGATCTGCATCGGAACCAATTGACTGAGAATGCCCCTGAACTGGTAGAAAGGGAAAGTGAAAGTCCCAAATGTAGATATTCACTTAAAACGTCCTTATTGCATCCTAGCATAAACCGTAACCATTGAAATCCCAGCATGCGTGGGCATATTGTGCATGTAAAAATATCCGTCCCTTTGTGGGCACGGTTTCTAGGTACCTCGAGCAAAACACATTTTCAATTCAATCTAATTCAATTACGGTAAACACTCCCGCGAGTGATATAGAGGCGGTCAGCTCATACTGCGAGGCCAGAGAAGTTTTAACACTGTGCGTTCCAATGCCGAAAATAAGCGAACTGTTTAGTCATAGAAAGAGAACAAAGGAAAATGGCATTTGCATACCGATGCTTCGTTCTCACGCGAGCAGCACCAGTAGTGCACCGGCTAAGGATACTGTGAGATCGCTCTGACCTACGCAGACTCGAACCGGTGACTTCTGGATTACACAAAGAAGTTGTCTCAGTCCTTCGGTCACCGGCCGATCGCTTAGTTTTGATGTCATGGTCAAAAAGGGGCATGAAGATGGTCAAGGGAATGTATGAAGCAGATTGTATCAGGCCAAAGTAGAATACAAGCGGTTCACTAAGTAAGTGGAAAGGCAGAGATGAAACGGATGGTAAAAACCCAAAAGAATAATGGGTAATGCAGAAAGCTGAGATAACAAACGAAAACACACACACATACACAGAGACCGTACAAGTGTCAGTAGTAAAGCAGAAGCGGAGCGAAAATATTATGAATAACGGATCGAGGAAGTTACTAACAGAACGAATATCTTATATTATTCGCCTCTCTTAGTTTCAAAACTGCTATGGATATAGCGTCTAGCGAGAGGAAGTCATCAGCTCGCAGGCTAACCACTGTTAGTGACAGTGGAAGATAGGTGGTCCTATATCCCAGTTAGCTTGCAAATTATGTAGCTCACCCAACGTCCCCCATTGCTCAGTGGCTTAAGCTGCTGTCTAGTTGGCATTTGCCTCTAGCGCTCACGGGATCGATACTCAGTAGGAGACCGAGGGAATGCGCACCAGTGACGAGCCCCAATAGGGCGAAACGCGTCTGGTGCTTTTCCGGACTAGGCTGTGCTTGTGAACTATCGGGAGGAATACCTTGCAAAAAGTACAACTAAAATCCTGCTACTTAAGAGTAATATATAAAATAAATAGCCTCTCCTAGTTTCAAACCTGCTATGGATATAGCGTCTAGTGAGGGAAAGTCATCAGCTCGCAGGCTAACCACTGTTAGTGACAGTGGAAGATAGGTGGTCCTATATCCCAGTTAGCTTGCAAATTATGTAGCCCAGGCAACGTCCCCCATTGCTCAGTGGCTTAAGCTGTTGGCTAGTTGGCATCTGCCTCTAGCGCTCACGGGATCGATACTCAGTAGGAGACCGAGGGAATGCGCACCACTGACGAGCCCCACTAAGGCGAAACGCGTCTGGTGCTTTTCCGGACTAGACTCGGCTATGTAGTTAGTGAACTATTGGGATGAAAGTCTTGACGAAAACCTTAACAAAAGAACGAATATTACCTGGTAATTCAACCACTTTGTACTAGTAATATACGACACGCATTTCAACTGCAGTGAACACTGACTTCTTTGAGCTTTAGTTGCGCCGATTTGACCGACACTAACCAACCTCGGCTCCTCTCAGTTGAATAGCTAAATTGGGCCGACAACATATCTGGGTGCACGACAATGTCATGCGTCAAGGCCGACAGTTTATGGTAGTGCTATTGGTAGTTAACACATGAGAATAGAGAACGCTATCACGTTTTCTCCAATGACTTTTTAACAATAAAGGACCAATATCAGCACCTGGGAGACAAGTCACACGACTAGTAGAACTGCTTGGCCACATAAGACTTGCTAGTCCAGCTTGATACAGCGTCTTCTCTCTATGCTTCTGCAGCCAGTAATGCTCACTACGAATTCCAAATCGCATACACCGCGTGGTGTTTGGCCTCCTTCAGTTCAACGTATTTTTTGTGTGCGAGTCGCATAATAGTGAACCACCCTTCCATCTCGATCCTCTTACTTATCTGTTTCTTTTGTGTTTCGAATCGTCTACGGAAACAACTAACATGTTCGTTCTGGCCATATTCCTATTCGTTCTCGCACACACGCACATACAACGCACGACCACCGACGCCGTGGCGGCTAGTCTTTCATACCAAAATACGAAACAATATTAAGCACCAGAAATCCATACAAATGAACACCATGTGTATCCGTACTTTTAAAGGAGGAATCTTTTAGCTTGTACAGAGCGCCAGAACGTTTTGCTAGCAAAGCCCATCACACAGTTTCACATAGATGGTAGTTATCTTACCATCTCTATGAGTGAAACTATGAGTAATTGTTCACCGATCTCATTTATCCCCGTAAGTTGTTATCTTGCAGGTATGTTGCTGAGCACATTGAGCGTTTTATAGCGGCCAAGTCCTTTTAGGTCCTCCCAAACGTTGAGCTACTTCTCGCACACCTGAACGCATCAACCCAAAAACGGAATGGTACTACTCAAGCCTAACTAAACTCGAGATCGAAAGGAAGTTGAGTTGAAAATGTTCAATTTGCGGGTGGCTATTTTATTGTGGTACTAATATCTTCTGAAATAAACGCACTGACAGTCAATAAAATTTTAAAAAATCACAACCGTAAACAGTTACGTAACCGTGTGCATTGCTGCCTACTGTGGCAGATGTTTTTATGTACACTGTAGCTAGCGTAAGTGAACAACTCTTTTCATAGTTTTGGTAAGTGTAATTGACCCTCTTTTCACCAACGCTGATGTGCAGCCCATGTCATAGTTGGACGCATCTTGTATCTCGCATTATTAAGGAACATAGGTTAGTATAAATAAAATTAGTTAAATCTAGTATCTGGTCCAGTGCTTCTTCCTGATGCTTCGAATATGCTGGTGGTTGTACGTGTGTTGTAGTATGTCAGCGGTAGTCCGAGGGACTTAACAACATCAATGCACCGGGTTGGCTCTACTACATATATGTTGCGCAGATGACCACATTTGAAAGGATGAGAATACAGAGAACTTGAACAGAATCGTATAGGACTCCTATGGAAAGTGAGACAACCCTTACGTCTTCAAATCAGGGATTTCAACCTTCATAGCCAGGCGATTGGATAATTGAGCATCCGGAATGTCACATCGCTCGGGGTCCCACAGGAAGATAAAACCCCTCTAGCAAACAGTGCACGAGCATTAGTAGCACTTGTTAAATGTACTCTCGTATCAATTAGGTCAGTAAGTCACATTGTTCGTAATTAGCTAATTATAACCATTTCTGTCCATATTTCCATATTCGACGTCGCTGGTTGATCGGACGTACACATGTTAAGAATGCTAATCTATACTAGCAAAAAAGTCATATGCCTCCAGACAAAAAGATCGATTTGCATAGTTTTAGGTCAGTAGAGGCGAACCAACGCCCCCCGCATCCCGCAGTAAAAGCTATCTGATATGCCAGAGATTTAGAATTGACGAACCCTTGTTCCCAAGACTTCAGTAACTAAAGTAATACGAGCCATGGGATATATTTATGCTGAAAGATACGGGACTTTGGGCTAATAAAAGCAATATAAGGCCCTTGTTGGAATACTGCTGATCTCTACTTTTTAGCAATTTGTGTAAATATTAATTAGAAAAGGTTCAACGTGCGCACGGCTACTCCGCAATAGGTTTTTAAAAGGAAAGATGCGGTGAGCCAAAGTCTGAACCTTTGTAGTTGCGCAGGTTACACTTAGACATGAGCTTTACATAAAGTTGTGTGGCAAAACGTACATAGTGAACACCAGACTTTGTAAATTCGACTAGAAACCAGATATGAACTACGCGGTCTGGAATAGACAGTGGCAGTACCTAAAATTAGAACCACAACTAGATAGAACTTTTATAATGTTCGGTATAAGATGGAACAGGCTGCCTAGTTGTATGAGATACACAAAACGCTAAGCGAATTTAACATGATTAAGGAACTCCTGACACTAGATCCTCAATTTACAAGTAAAAGTAGGGACTAGATCATATATGAAGAAACAGGAAACCATAGATATATGTCAGAAAGTGAAAATGTTCCAAAAGAAATAGAAGGCAAGCGATATAATGCTATAATGAAAAGCAAATACAGAAGGCAAGAAACCGAAACCGAAACTGCTTCGTCCGGGTGATGCTGGACGCCGACGTTTATAACTTTGCCTACATAGAAACTATTTGTGCCATATATGATGCTCATGTGCTCGCACGGCATCAGTTACAATGGGGTTGCTTTCTCCTCATTTCATCTACTCCGTGCTCCTTCTCTACAAACTTCTAACCATAGCCTCACTGATGTTGACCTAATTTCCCTATGTAGTTCCCATCGCATATCTCGAAACTCTGGCTTAGGAGTGATACCCTGATAGTGCCAATTAGCTGTGGCATATGAGACCCAGTTGTACACAAGGCAGTGGCCACAATGGATTCTTTTGTCTTCCTTTACCTCAATATATTCACCTACATCACACACAGCCCTTACCTTAGAGACTATGTTGCACTCTCCTCTGGTGACCGCTTCCTTCACAATTCAAAACTCTTTCATTTACAGAGTTTACTCTGACAGCGTCATTGCTTATGGCACACGAAATCTAAATGCTCAGGTGATGGTGATAGCTAGATATGATATTCATCACATCGTTCCTTAAAAGTCATGTGCTCCATGGCTTTCTCAAATCTCGTGGTTTCCTCTCTCTCCCTTTATCATCCTAAGTTGCAATTCTTAGGTACGTTTCACTCTCAATACTCCACCACTGTGACAGAAACACTAACTTTTTAAATTCAGTTTACATGTTACAAGGACATTCCCAGGAGGTTTTATTATTCGACTTAAGCTTAGTAATATAGAATGAAACTGCACGAAAGTTTGACCCATAACGTCCTTTGTAATCAAATAACTTCGCATCATGTTTAAACGTAGCAAGCCCATTTCGCATTATTTTATGTAATTTTTTATCGTTTCCTGTGCTCGATTATCACTAGTCCATTTCGAAAATCATCTCTATGTTTGATTTCCAGTACTACATAAAATCTACCTCCGGTTAACTTTTTACAGTTAGCCGCTGACTCCCTTTTTTATCTCCCCGCTGAGGGTTAATACACTGACAAGTTTCTTTCCATTAGGATTGAACGATAATTTGACCTCCTTTGTGGTCGATTATCTGGCATCAAGGAAGTGACTCGGATGCGATTGGTTGGGAATTAGTGAAGAAATGTCCACATTCGCATGCAGTAAAGCTATAAACCGCATTTGAATCACCTTTATTGTCCTTTATTTCCTTGTACAACCTTGGCCCGAGTAGAGAATTTTCTCGCGGAATATCTGTAATAGCTCTATTATTCGCCAGAATTTTTAATCGAATTGCGATCGGCCCGTTACAAATGTTGCTGACTCCTTGAGCACGTTTCGCCAGGAATGTGAAAAATGTGAGTAAATTATCATACCCTCCAACGTGTTATGGCGGCTATCTGTTCAAGGCGATCACCTGTTTATGGCGACCAGCCAGACATCCTCAAGGTTTTCTGTTATGAGTAATATTCCTATGCATGAACCTGTCTATGGCGACCACCTGTCCAAACGGACCACATTTTGTCGGCCCCTTAGACAGGCTTGACTGTAGTTATAAATTCAATTGGCGCAAGCATCTATCGTGTGCTATTTTGTGAATGATTAGCAAAACATATTAGTATTAAAATGTATGTGTGCATATACTTGAGCTGCCAGCCTAGCAAAATTCAGCATGTTTTTTATAGGTTACAAGAAATAATTGGAACTGAGCACAAACCAATTCGTAGAAAAGCACATGATTGATGGCATCAATAAAAGGGAATTCAAAATGAGGTTAAGAAGAGTCGAGAAGGGAACGGATCAATCCTATTTGTTCGAAAAGTGTACTTTCGCAAGCACTGCTACGGACAAGTGCCAGCTAGCTTCGAAATTCGTACGAGATCCTTACACTTAAGGTAGGATGCACAGACGCTCACCTGCTGTTGTCATGACAGCCGTCTCTCCCGGACGCGGTAATCGCAGATCCAGCACACAGACTGGTCTTTGCTCGAGCTGCAGTTCATCCGCGGCCTGTCTCAAGTGGCGCGGATCGCGCATAAAAGCGATACGCCCATGAACTGTGTCAGATTCGTCTGGCTTTGGTTCACGCAGACGAACAGGGAAGGTTACTCTGTTCTCTTGAAATGGTCGAACGACCAACCGAGGTTGTGTGTCGGCCTTCGTCACAGCAGTCAGATTACCGCTCAGTTCGATCCAGTAGGGTCGGTTTTCCAGAACCTAAAAGATGGACAGAGAATGGAACCCGACAGGTTGTACACCATAGAAGCATGACAAAACTGAGTGAGGAAAGCGGTGGGGAAAATGTTTCAAAGTAGACATGACTTGTGCTTAAACAGTCAAGTAGCCAACCGCTGGGATCCCTGTTCTCGGCGTCTAGTTGGTTGACTTAGTGAACAACTTTGGTGTGGGACGGAAACAGTGAGTATGGAAACCAACATAACATTTGCCGATACTGGGGCTGATGTGACATTTGCGACGCGCAATTGCTGCAGGCGAGCTACGCTTGGAGCAGTGAGCATGTGTCTGCTCGAGATTGACGGCCTTGTAGCGAGCGATGCGTCCGCGGCTGCGATATCGACAATCAGATCTAGGAGACTGCTAATGGATATTGAAAGAGACCTGACGTGCGATAGCGTTAGGTTCAAAGAGCGATCCCGCCATGGAACGAGGTACAGAATAGCCACAGCCCTATGTACTTCTGGTACGCATGCTTCACCTAAATGTGTATCAGTTATATATGCGTAGAAGTAAAGAAGGTCAATTTCCGATCATTTGCGCCTCCCATCCGTATGCCCACACCGTATTTATGTTAGAAACGGGGTGTGTGGACGGTGCAACGCGAATCATCTAAGGCACAACCGTTGGCAAAGATGGCTTTTAGGTGTTTTAAGCTACACTGACAAACAAATTTGTGAACAGATACCGCTAACCACTACTACCATTGCTACTGTCAACACGACAACCAAGAGCAGAAAGCCAGACTTCACGTGACAGACTGTGGGGCCGCATCTGTGGACAGGAAATCGGGGGCAATTTAACGGTTCACCAATGTGACCCGTCAGGTGAGGATGAAGAAAGTAAGAAGAAATTGACAACTGCAACCGACCAACGCACGCTCGCCGTCGCCAACAGTTTATCGTCTCTATTTTTATTGATTGATGTTATTGGGGATCCATTAGCTTGCAAGATTTTCCCGTTTGGTGTATTTCTGGCCACGGGAACACTGATACTGTTTACGAATCGCTGTCCTACGAGATAAAGACATCGTTCACATAGATGAACACATGATGGTGTTTCAACGCTTGACTTGTGCCCATACCACCAAGTGTTAACTGCGGAACGACACTGTTAGTAATAACACGCGAGAAGTTTGATTTTCACACGAAAAGAATTTGTTCAGAGTCTGGTAAGTGCATTGTGCTGGTATGCTCCGCTCCTAATTCTGGCATCGGGTGTAGGAGCTCCATTCATTTGAATTTAGCATAAAATCCATAATGAATCACATTCAATTGTGACGGCTGTATCGGTGAAAGCTGAGCGAGAAGAAATAACTGTAATAGGGTTTGGATGAGAAAAGGGCTGATAGCGCACCTCAGTTGGGGTTCCAGCTGCAACCAGGCTGAACCGTTCTAAGCACTCCAGTGTTTTCTCCTCCGTATCGTCGGTCAAGCACAGGCAACGAAACTGGGTCAACTCAGCGCCAGGACGGCGGGGTATGAGTGGTTCCTCGCTAACCTCACCATTGGTTAGATGAGAGGCCGATTCGAGGTTCATTGACTGTCTGGCGAACACTACAAAGCGGCCTATGAGAGGTGGGACGATGCTCTCTCGGTACACTCGCGTGGCAGATTCCACTGCCGATGTTGGGGTTGGACAATCGAGTAACCAAAACCTGTCGGAGAGGGAAGTGAGTCATTAGTGCATAGATGATCGTGGAGCTCTTTTTTGGCTTGGATCAAGAGGTAGGCTGAAGAGACTTACCTAGCAGAAACTGTAGTTGTAAATGACACACAATTCTTGTTTCGTGTCATGGGCGTTGAGCCCGTGATATCCTCCCAGACAGGTGGGTTCGTCCCTCCTGAGAGGCTGCACAGTAGTCGGACGTTCGAAGTGGACCCATCTGTTCCGGTCTGGGGTTTGGATGGTGGTTTGGGTAATGGCATAGTCAATGTGATCGGCTTGTGGAACTTCCGTCTGCGTGGTTCTATGCTGACCACATACGATGCTGACACGTACTCTCCGGCTAATCGAGTAGTTAGTTCTTGGGGTATGGGTTGTACCTAGGAAAAGTGGAGTGTAGATGTCATCAGAATACGGTTCGATAGATGACCAATCACTTTCATCTTGCAGTCGTAAAACTATAAGGTAGATTTCTCGTATAGCAGGTCCGACTGAGGGGGATTGTTATGGGAAAGGCATTTGTTTGTGGCCAATGAAGCCGCTCGTAAAGTAATGGCGATTGCATAACACAAAATAGGGACAGAATTTAAGCTTACAGACGAGGCTATAGGAATCTCACTGAAATATGAAGGCCGATATGTCTATAGAGAGCACGAAATATCAAGTGGATAAGAACAGTACGGATTCGTTCAGATCTCTGCATGAATCAACGGGAATTAAGCAAAGAAATTGTGCGATACTATCGAAGGAGAAGTGCAAAAATACCACAAAACTGACGTACTAAAAAGAAATGCTGAGGTCACCGGGTTGTGTGCGTCATGCATTTCTTCGCAATAACTTCGGAAATATAAAAATATTGCTCAAAATGGCAAACGGATGTGACATTTCCTACTCACACTCTCCGTCTAACGAGCGGATAAGCGGATAAGCATGAATCCAGCTTACCTGCAGTCCAACTTTGATCCGCTTTTGCAAAGCTCCCGGCGGAAAAACCGCCTGTACTTGTTGAGCAACTGTGGATGTAATGGTTCCCCCGTCGGACCCGATAAGTGCGATGTCTTGACGAAATCGTGACAGAACCGCGAAATATTGTGGAAAATCGTAGGTGAGTATACGATGAATAAGGCGTTCTTTTTGTGCACTCTGAGGTTCCATCGGTTCTGGAACAGATAACACGTAGCCACATCAATACGATGTACTGTATATCTGAAATACGTTATGGTTATACATATTCGTATAACATGCAATACATCACCCGCATTGCCGAAGTGCTGCAGGGAACACTAGTGTTGATTACTCACCGAACGCATCACCCAAGGCATTCTGAACAGCAGTGTCATTGGCTTCCAGTGTATGCTCTTTCCAAGTGGTACCGGTCTCACTGCGTAACACGACAATCTCTCTTTCCCTGCCACGCAGCGAAGCAATGTGTGGTACCTCGATCAGTATTGGTGAGCAGAATTGCATTTGGAACGGACTCAGTTCGATTATGCTGTCAGGAAAAAACACTGTAGATTATCATCTTATTGCAATCAACCAGAACAGACAAAACAAGAATGGAATCCAGACTAGTTATCGCGTCATTCCATCTGTTGTGGAAAAGCGGAGAAAAGTCACTTAGATAAGCTAACAATGAAAAATTCTACAGGTGACCGAGCACATGTATACAACGCTCATTCGCACATGGGCTGTGCTGATTACGGAGGGTATGTTCTATGAAGATGAAAAAGGCGCCCAACACCGATGAAAAACGGATACGAGAAATACCCATTACAACCGATAGTACATGCGTACGATCGTAGTCGCTTGGATGGCAAAGTCGTTGGCCACATCCATAGTTACCCTATCAATGGGTCTGGAATCCCGTTACGAGGCTAACACAGACAGGGGGTTCACCTAAGAACACTTACCGTGCCGCCAAACAGTCGCCATCGTTCATCGGTGGGTGATTGGAAACGAATTCCGGTCGAAGCACTCGACAGATCACGCGCGTCGGGGCGGGAGAGGCATTCGGAGGGATGAAAAACCTCAGATCGGCTCTTCTTTGTGCTCTTACCAAACAGCCACGAGCGTCAACCAGAAAAGAGATTAAGAACCTGGAAGCAACAGAAAGTCATCATGTACACAGGTTGATCTTCCCATCAATGTAAAATCACTAGTGTTTACCAATGACACATACCCGGCTTTGATCGGCTTTCGCAATAACTGCAAACTATCCACCTCCATATCCCATTCGGACAGTCCAACGGGGGAGGCTTTTGACTTGGCCTGTACCACACCCGCTTGCTCAGGCACTATGCGTTGCTGCTCCTGCGGTTGGTGATGAAGTAAGCGAAAGAAGGTGGAGGAGTAGGTGAACGGCTTTCAGCACAACTATAGTAAGGAGTGTAACACCAAAGGTTTTCAAAGTTGGATTTGGAGTGGTTGGATTGCGGTACGCAATCTCTACTGTGACCTCAGTTCAGTCTGTAATAGATCTCGGTCATTCCGATCACAACGACCGAAATGGAAGTGTTTCGATGTTGCGCACTGTTGGGAGGATCAACACCGAAACACATCCCACAAAGATTTTATCATCTCCACAAACGCCGAGTAGACAATCATAACTAGCATAAGAACCTTATCCAGGTAGCACATATTATAGGTTAGTTATCCGAATTGCGCAACCATCGTTTTGGTCAAAGATCGTGGAAGCAGGCACACTCCCGAACATTAGCGCGTTGTAGACTTGCACATTCAAATTGCGCGGTAACACGTATCCTGTCAACAGTCATGAAGCAAGAAGCGTTGGGGTCGAGCGTTGAATAGACGGATTCGGACACATGGCGAATCAGGCCAGTTACGCGCACCTGGTTTTGAGGTATGAGGGATTACGACAGCCCATAGTGTCAGTGGAAGTTTGAGCATAAACGTGCGGCCATTGGTCAGGAGTAATACGACAAATACAATGTATTTGTACTAATCAGTTCGCATACCATTCGGTCGTCTGTCCCATGGTTCAACTCGAATCAAACTTGTTCCGCGAGAGTGGAGATGCGATTGAACTTCCCGTAGAATAGATAATACACCCATATTTGTTGATTAATAGGAAAAACGAATAGACTGTCCGAGCACACTTCGAGCATGTTGTGGTGATCTTTCTGAGTAGTACATAGTTGCAGTCCACGCAGGTATCACGAATATATCGGCAGGAAATTGTTTTGACAAGGTATTTTGGAAGTACAGAAACATGCACCTAAGCTCTTTACCGGCAAAGCGCCAGCGGATGCGATGTGTATTGGTCTCGTGTTGTCCGGACAGGTAAAGGCTCTACTACTGCACCGATGGTATTCCGACCGGTACACATCAACGGAAACGGACCCAAACGGTGTAGACTAAAGCAGGGCCTGATATGAGCGCACTGGCCAGCCGCGCTCGAGGGGGAACAGTAGACTGGCTGTGGCGGGTATGGAGCCTCTTCCTCGAGCACAAAACCGTCCTCACTCGAGCAGCATGAGATTTTGTCCGGCCCATTGTAGCCATGCGGGCCAGGTGACATTCACTCTCGTGCGCACTTGCTTATCGATTTATCAAGGTCACATGTGGCCAGTCATGTCACACGTACGGTCCGCTTGAATGAGTATCGCAGGCTAATCGACACCAGGCTCGCTGGCCTTCTACGTTCCGGCATTACAGTGGACGAAATTAGATGATGAGACGGCACCGACCGCATCCAACTTTGACACACATTGAACGCCGAGTGGTGCTACCGGGTATATCCGGTTGCAGTGACCGTAGCGCGTCGCCGCAAACACACGCACACACCAAGGACATTTCGCCAGGTCTTACCCACGTACAGACTAAAGGTGTCCCTCACTTGGTACATTCAAGCGGTCTCGCAAACATCGCAGATGGTACCACCTGTCTGGTTCCCTACGTACTACGTAGAAGTTGCTATTGGCCTCTCAAAGTGAGAGCTTTACCAGCTGAGTCACTAAGGCTATCCAGGTGTGACGCTGACTGTCTAAAATCCCATTGCAAAGAGTAAAGGAGATTTTTCCCACCAGACAATATCTTACCGGCTGAATAGTTTCCGGTTGTCTCAATGTCGTATCATAATACGCCAATCTTGGCACCTGCGTAATCGATTGTTGCAATTCGGCTTCGCAAAGAGCATACTTATGGGCTCAGAAAGATTTTAGGAGAAAGTACTTGTGTAGGTGTTAGGCAGGGCTTCCCTATTGATAGAAACCTTTTATTAGGCAAGGTGGATCAACACAAGCGATGTGACACAGCGGGGGAAACCCGGGGGAAATCGAAACCAAAAAGTTAGCTAAATGTGAGGTGCATGTCCTCATATTTGGGAGCGCCCAAGTTAAATATGGTCATCTCATTGTGACGCACCAGTCACGGCAAATGAAGCAAACTAGCCTACAACAAGTATTCACTATTTCCCACGCAACATCACGGTGTGGTAACCAGGCACATGATAGAGCGTTATTATCCGCATCAGATTTCACTCACCAACGATGTTTATAGTGCTTGCCGACAGGTTGGGTGAGTTGCATATAAGCAGTGCAATCAATAAACAAGGCCAGTGACGCTCACGAAATGCGCGGTTCATTCAACCAATCAAGTTGAAGGACTTCATTGGTTAGGTTTTATCAGCAATAGGGACAAGTGTGCAGTGCTTATGTTAACCCAGTGATTTTAATTATGTGGGATGGAAGAGGTCACAGAGAAACGCCAACCAACATACTCGATCACTGGCATCCAGCTTTGATTGATCGTCACATGGGCCGTCCTGAATGCCGGAGCGAGCCATGTCATCGGCTGAAAGGAGGCGAGAAAAGATGGCAATCCGATGGTTATTTCGTCTATGCGAAGCACAGTTAGATGTCAACCTCAGCTGCATGCATGTTGATCAGGGAACTTCAATGTGACCTACTCATTAGAATCTGGAAGCATGCCCTAGGTCCATCAACACAGGATAAATTGCAAATTATTGCTGCACCAATTAATGAGTGAGTGAAAAACAGAAGCAGCCCACTTCAAATGTAATGCAGAGTTTTAAAGTTACATGCTTATCACGTGAAAGTAGAATATTTATGTTCGTTCCTCCAGCCTTACAACGACACGTACCCTACCGCAACGGAGTGAAAAGAACACCTCTCCATCAATGTAAACCATTAATGTATGCGATTCACGAGTGTTATTTATGAACCGGAAAACGAGAACAAATTATCTGTGTTATCATTTTCATGCGTAGGACACGCGGTGTATAGCTTCTAAGGTCAACAGGAAGCAGTCAATCGCGTAGAATTTTAGGGAAGAATAACCGACCGACGCAGCCTAAGGTAGACGCAATCCTACGCTAATGCCAGTGCGCAAACTAGGGCAGGCGTTTTAACACCCTCAGCGTCCGTCTGCCGAAACTGATCCATCTACTAACACTAGGCGGACAGTAACGTTGGGAACTCCACCATTTACAAATATGCCTGATCCACCGTTTTCATGTTGGATAGGGGCGTTGAGTAGGCACAGAGACTTATCGATCCGTACACTAGCTCTTTTCATTAGCAAAATACCAGCATTGAGAAATTACCCAGATAAATTAAGCGAAAGATCGATTCCGGTGACTTCCAGGCGATGACCCGAAACGACGGCGAGTTGGCTCCGCTCTGCGGCAGTAAGTTTTAATTTGAATGTCCAGAACAAACACAGAAACAAGCGTTGCTGTGAATTAGCCTACGCAGGAGCGGAGTCTTGTGGCCACTCCTTCTGTGGATGTCTATTAGTTCGCGTATAGACCTCAGTTCTTCACAGGAAGTGCCATGTTCGTGCGCTATGCACTCCGTAGCGTCTACATTAGATATAATTACAAATCATCACCACTCCATCATCCACTACTCAAATACTTTCGCAAGGCCAGAGAAGTCAACGTCGCTCAATTTGTCTTTTGACACTGCGACACTGCGTCATTTTTTTGGTAGTTGCACTCCCTTCACCCACTTAGAATACAAGGCGTTCCCTATGATGTCAACGTACTGGAGTCTTCCGTAAGAAGCGACGATCTCAGGGTTGTAATCTCTCATTATGTTGAAATTCTCCCTGTAACTAGATTTGACCGATAAAACTATGCCGATGATATAGTTCCATGGCGTAAGGTAACGCTGAGGCTTCTTCGATGATTCAAAATGGGTTAGAAGGTCTATCGAAACGGTCATCATCAAAACACCTTGCTCTTTAGGCTCTCAAAGCCGTTGGTTTGCTATATTCTTTTAATGGTGTACCTAACTTGCCGGCTGACCCAAATGCCTCCTCGTTAACTGTGAATAGTAAAACTACGGCTAGTTTAAATAAGGAAGTATCTAGTATCTAGTTCGGTCCATGCACGCATTTGGAACCTTTCACCTGGTTTGCAGACGGTGTGCACTACTCCAAAATTTATGAGTATTCCACTACCGAGCAGTTTATTAACCCATTTTATGACTTCATGTAATCGCCACCAGTGGTTTCAATTGGCAGTCATCTTCCGTGAACTCCTTCAGAAAAGGCACACATTGTTGGCCCAATCAGTAGCAGGGCGACCGTCACAGTATCCTTAGTTCACCTGCGACCTGTGGTGATTGCGTGGTAGCGAAGCGTCGGTAATGCGCGTACAGGCGTACTGCTGATGCCTCTACCTTTTTTTTCTAGGAGCTGTTGCCAATCCAAAGGATTTCTAATTGAGTTTATTGTCAATATGCATATTGCGGAGATCTCATTCTCACATACCGGATACTAAGTGAAGGCAAGCATTAGTGTACATCACTGTTGACCCTAGCCCCTTACAAACAATGCCGAGGCAACCACCTGAAACTAATCACGTAACACTCCCATTTGAAGTGTAGAAACTAATTTTCTCACTTAGAATCTGTTCTCACTGGAATGCACTACAAACACACATGGTAAACGCACCAGACATCAAGACGTTCGAAAGACTATCAGACTTTCATCTTAAACGCTGCACAACAGTTTGATAAAGTGCAGTGACATAACTGTTGACACCCCGCGTTCCAAGTTGGAACAACATTAAGTTTACTTTTCTTCTGCATATCAGTGCTGTGAGTCCTATAAAGTTATGCTTTTATCCCATCATACACTATCGAACTACTGACACCCGCATAAATAATTTTCTTCCAAGTACTTACATGGCCGATTTCACTCACTACACATTGGCCAATCAACAACCTTGTATTTTACTCCTTCGTGCTCTGATGTGTTCGTCTTCGCCTGTATTGACAGTTGATTCTCAATCGGAACTCGAGATCGCTGGGCCCCCACAGGAGAGAGAGAAGACCGAATCGGACGAGCAGAAGAACAGGGATATATTATGCAACCACACCGTTCATTATAAAAGCAATACCGAAAGTTCGTGTATGTTATGTAAAGCTCCCGTGGAAAACTCCAGAAGGGTCAGCTTACGACCAATCAAATAATGGCACCCGCGTGCTAATTTGCCGCTTCACCCGGTTGGCTATCTGTTCGCCCCAATCAGGGCGTGTGAGTTTGGCTCGCCTGCCATGTCTTGGCTCCGTAACGGCGATGGGTGCCTCGGTTGTTCTCCTAGCGTGTGCCTTCCTAACACTTCCCCGCTTCGAGTTGTGTTGCACGATTTTAGCTTGGGGTTGACTTGCTGGGTGACACGGATTTGCGTCGCCCTTTCGGCCTCTGTGCTGCCAGGTTTCGGAACCAGTCATGTGGTTGATGCGTTGGCGCATGTTGGAGAGCTTTCGCTTTACCTGTTTCGGCCCGTGTGTACAGAGTTAACTGCGCTGCTGGTACTTGTTGTTGCAATTGTTTGCCAGTCCCTGCCTCTAGTAGCTGATTGACATGTCGCACCCAAATCGCCGTCCCCACCTGGAGACTGTAGATCACGTTACCACGTTTGTAGAGCACACGGCCCACAGTCCATTTGGTATAGTGGATGTAATAATCTCTTGCCAGAACTTGTTGGTCAACATGGAAAGCTCGCTTTAGAGCACCGTGGCGGATGTTGAATTGATGTTCCATCTGAAAGTTGCGGGTCAGTATTTGTTCCTACTTAGGTCTGAGGGCACCATGCGGCACACGGATTTTCCTTTGAAACGGAGTTTCAGCCGGGTATAGTACGTTCGGTGTCTGCGGATTTGTTGTGCGATACGTCAGGAAAAATGTGTCAGGTATCTCCGCTAAGGTACCTTTTCCTTTCAGTTTTAGCAACACTTTTTGAGTGTATCCACAAAGCGTTCTGCTTGCCCGTTTGATAGTAAGTGGAATGGTGGAGACCTTACATGAACGATCACGTTTCTGCGACAGAAGTCAACGAATTCAGAGGAGGTGAACTGCATACCATTGTCCGAAACCAACGTGTGGGGAACACCGAAACGAGAAAAAATCTGTCGAGGAGAAGAGCCAATGGCTCCTGCGGTAGTTTTCACCATTGGAATCACCTCTGGCCATTCACTGTGGGCATCCACAATGATGAGAAAATGATGACCGTCAATTGGACCCGAAAAGTCGACGTGTACACTGGACCATGGTTCTGTTGGCATTGGTCAGGAATGCAATTCCATCTTCCTTGGCCGTTTAGGGACACTGGCACATCGGGGACAATTCTTCGTTAAATTCTCGATCTGGGAATCCATATAGGGCCAATACACATAGCTTCGTACCAGCGAATTCATGCGATTCATTCCTGAGTGGCCAGTATGAAATTGTCGGAGGACTCCCTCTTGAAAGATGAGATGAATGACGACGCGATCTGAGAACAGCAGACAATTGCCGACAACTGATAGTGTCTTCCTTTGGTGGAATTGCTGAAGCTTCGATTTTGTACCTCACTTTGGCCAGCCACTGAGGTGGAAATTGATCAATTGTTGTAGGCTGGAATCATGACGGGTTGCTTCGTGCACCATTTCGAAGGTTACTGGTAAGACACTGAAAAAGTCAGACACAACTTGATGTACTTGGGGTTTCATGGAGATTTGAGCAACTACCAAATCCTATGGTTCTTGTTGCTGTGTACCAATCAAACGAGATAAAGCCTCCGTCTGGTCAATGTTGTGTGTAGATTGATATTTAACGACGAACTCGTATCCAAGTAGAACCGTTGTCCAGCGTTGAAGAGGACCAGCTGTGCAGACCGGAATGCCTTTCTTTGATCCAAAGATTGCGACCAAGGGATTGTGGTCCGTGAACAGCGTGAATTCTCATCGATATAACATTTTGCAAAATCGCTTGACTGCAAACACTATAGTCAAAGCTTCTTTCTCGATCTACCCATAGTTGTGTTCCGCTGGGGTGAGTGATCTGGCTGTATGTACCACAGCTTTCTCCGAACCATTGGGGAAATGTGGGATATGACTGCTCCAATTCCGTCGTCTCAAGCGACGATCTCTAGCTCCGGATTGAAATGCGTTAGCAATAGGTCAGAACACAATATAGACTTGAGATTATCAAATGACGCTTGACATTCAGGAGACCACACAAATTTGCGATCCTTTACCAGTTCACCAAGTTCATTGAGCAGTCCTCGTAGCCGATGCATTTCGGGCACAAAAGAGCTGTAATAGCTGATCAATCCTAGGAATGTTCTGAGCTTCGCGGCATTGTCAGGGGGAGGCACCTGTTTTATGGCACTTATGTTGGAAAGATCCGGACGACAGCCATCCTTGTCGATGATGAAGCCAAGATACTTTACACACTTCATGCCGGTATTGCACTTTTCTGCTTTCAAGTGGAAACCGTAGTCATTAACGAGGTGGAGAACTGTTTCCACTCTTTCCATCATCTCTCGAAAGGTAGACCCT